CCACATGCCTCCAATCCCAGTGGCCACCAGACAGAATTGGGTTTCCAACAGATGCGCTCCCTCTTCTTCCTCCCCACTTCCAGCTTTCCTCCTCGCTGGCCTGTCCCACTTAGGTTTTATTCGCAAATAAGCCACCGGGCTTCAGAAGACGCTTTTCAAGGCAGCAGGCCCCTTTTCGGCTCGTAGCGGGCGAAGTTTAAACGCGTTCTATTTTATTTCCTAATGTGCTGGAGGGAGAAGAAGCGTCCCTTTCCACGAAAGCAAAGCGAAACGATCCAATCGCCAACGGACCGTCGGCCAATTAATAAATACGATTTATGAGGTGCGTTTTCAGTCGTCGGACCCTCGGCCGATTCATCAGCTTCGACAACGTCGCCGGGACATCTCGGTGAACCGTTGCACAAACTCCCTCGCTTGCATGAGGGTTGTGGTTTTTTTTGGAGGGGGGAGTTGTTGTTGTTGTTGTTATCCGCGCAAAGTCCATGTTGATATAGAAAGTCATGATACGTAGATGCCAGAGGGACTGAAGGCTTGGCCTGTGTCGACGGAAAATTAAATATCTAGAGTTCGTCGAAATGAAATGTTGGCTGGAAGAAATGATAAAACAGATGGCTGGGTTTTGTTTCTTGGCTGTTTGGTTCCCAGGCTGAAGATCCTTTGAGGGAGAGAAAGACCGTTGTGGAGAGGTGAAATTGGATGAATAATTCCCAGGTCAGCGAAGGGCACATATATGTATATATATATATATATATATATATATCCCCCTGAGTTTGGGGGGGTGGGGGGAAGCTTGGTTGCAGTCCATCAATTTTCTCCCCCTTTAACTGCCAAGATCTTTCTGAATTTCTTTACCGGAATCCATAACTATCTCTTTTTTTGGCAGGACTCTTAAAAGCTTGAAAACAGGTGGGAGAACTTGGCCTAGAAACGGAGGTGATGTCACTTCGCGAACCATAATTACATACTCGCCTGAAAGATAGAAAGGAAAGCTGGGAATTAACCAAGGGGTCTGGATTAACCGTTACCCTAAAGCAGGCTACGGAATGGGGCCCGGGAGGACGCCTCCCGGACAAACCACGGAGATTTGACACGGAGGGCTGGCAAGCATGGACCAGGCCTCTCCAGGCACGCTCGGCTGGCTGCAACGCGTTTCCCCACCTGCGTTAAAATCTACTTGATTATCGAAAAACCCGTGCCTTTTCATTGAAGGCGCAAAGCACGGCCTCGCCTTGCTTAGCTGGCCGCCCGTTTTTGAACGCAACAGGGCCAAGGAGATATTTTGCATCCACGCAGCACACCCAACGTGGATTCCCGGCTTGGATTCCAAACAGTCTCCACGCGGCTGGCTCTCTCCCGCCTGCTCCGGGAGATGGGAATCTATTCCGCCGCTCTGCCTTGCCCCCAGAATGAGACATTCAAAAGGCAAGGCGACCCAAAAGACACGGGGGGGAGGAAGAGGGGGAAACCAAGAACGCTTTATCCCTGTCCATGTTTTTCAGACCAAAGGTGGCCTTTCGGCTTTGAACAGCTTGCGGGAAGCCACCTTCGGCATCGCAGCCTGCAAGGTTATATATAATCTCTCGACTAATAAAATAGGATTTTCTGTGCCGGGTGGGTTTCCGTTTCCAGTGAAGTTCTGGAAGCAACTCAAAGCCTTTGAACACGGATAACTCATGGGTCCTTGGGAAAGGACCGTTTTTCTTCTCACAACCCATGAGATTCCCTCAGAGGAAGAACAAACAGGCCCAACAAGGCCAAGTCACGTTTGAAGATTGTAAAGGATTGTAAAGAAAATTGTGAATAGAAAGTACCACGTACAATGAATGCACACTGCATAGTTCAGGAGTCCTGAAGCCCTGGGCTACGGCTGACTAACAGGTTATGGCCTATTCGGAATTGGGATGTGCGAATGGCGGGCTGTGCATGTGCATGCATGCAACTCAACTTGGCCCATCGCTCACACAGTCCAGTTCCCCTCTTCCCCCCCCCCCCAAGCTGGGCTGCTAAGCTGCCAAGGTTGGAGACCGCTGGCATAATTCATACTAATAGCAGTAGCATTAGGTCATCAACTTCCTCATTCCTGGCTTGGCTCTTGCTGAACGTGGAGACTTTTTTTGAAAGCAAATGTTACCAACGAATTCAGTCAGCCCAAAGACTGCTCCTCGTCTATCTTGGCGGGCCTTTGACCATTGGAGTTGCCATTTTCCACGGTGAAGGAACAAATCCCAACACTGCTGTTACGCAGCTGGATTGGGGCTAGGATGCTTGGGTTAACAGCCCCTGAATTCAAAAGGGGAAAACATTCCAGGAGATTTATTTATTTATTTCTTCTTCTTCTTCTCCTTCTCCTTCTCCTTCTCCTTCTTCTTCTCCCTCTTCCTCTTCTTCCTCCTCTTCCTCCTCCTCCTCTTCTTCTTCTTCCTCTTCCTCCTCCTCCTCCTCCTCTTCTTCTTCTTCTTCTTCCTCCTCCACTTCTGTCTAGGTGGGCAAAATTGCAAAAGAGGTACCTCTGCAAGTTTGAGAAGATTCTGCCCTTGTGCTCCACATGAAAGCCCAGCCTTACCCAAGGCCGCGATCGAACAGAGAAAAGCGCACATGGAATTGCTCAACGGAGATTAGTTGTCGTGGGGAGGAGCTGATTTGGCCGCAGTCCTAAAAGCTCCGATTTTCAGAGGTCTCTGTTTCCAAGGAATGTGAGGCGTGTGCAGTTCCTCGTGTCTCAGGAAGGTAAACATCTGTACCAGAAGACCTACTTATGAACTGATGACACAGTTACCCAGAGGCACAGATGGATTTGCTGTGCGGTATATTCGGTAGAGTACACTTTTGAACTTTGGGGTTGGAAAACTCCTGGGAAGAGCGTGGACAGCCGAGATAACAAACTAATGGATCCTCAGACGAATCCACTCAAGAGTTCTTGTTCGAAGCACAAATGATCCCTATTTTGGACACATTGTGTGAAGACCCAGCTCTCTACAGAAGGCTCCTGGAACAAGACCCGGAGTGAAGCTATGATGCCTTCCAATCTATGTCTCTTTCTTTCTTTCTTTCTTTCTTTCTTTCTTTCTTTCTTTCTTTCTTTCTTTCTCTCTCTCTCTCTCTCTCTCTCTCTCTCTCTCTCTGTTTCACCTCCCATTCTGCAGTAAGCCTTCCTCTCCCTTACTTCCCCACCCATCTGTTCCAAAGACAGACTGACATTTAAAAAACAGGGAGAGAAAGAACATCAAGTCACAGCTATCTATACACAGCCAGAAAGGAAGGAAGGAAGGAAGGAAGGAAGGAAGGAAGGAAGGAAGGAAGGAAGGAAGGAAGGAGATACTACTTTTTAAACACTTGCATGTACTGTATGTTGCCTTGGACATTTAGAAGTTGGGATTTCAAAACCAGAATGCAGGTTTAACTCAGGAATCTGTATCATCAGAATAGCCTGCTTAACCCCACACATAATTCATACCATTGCTTGTCACCCACTTGCTCATCACACTCTCCCCACTCAAAATGATGGTGTTAAAATCCTTTTGCAACCCCCCACCCCCACCTTTGTGGTCTCTGCGGCAATTGGTGGTTAAATGCTTTTCTTAGCCGCAGACCGGAAGGACTGAACCTGGTGAAGTGGAAATCAGCAGTTCCCAAGCCAGCCAGAACTGTTATGTCAACAGGGAGCAGAATCTACTAATCAGAAGACTGGGAGGAGACTGGCCCAAAGTCCATTGACTCAAAAAAAAGAACAGCAAAAAGGATTTGTATACTAACACCTGAATAACACAGCATTCCTTAATGTCCCCCTTTTCTTAATATTGGGAATCGCCCTGAAGGTATACACTATTTAGTAACATCTACTATCTTAAATACGATTATCCATCAGATACGTTCTTTCCGTGCAAATTTCTGTATTTGATCTTCTCTGACATACTTCATTTTATACCAGGGTTGAGCCAAGAATGCCAGGGGGTACAAGGCTCCGCGTCACACTGTCCCCCAAAACCACAGGACAGTCCACTGTCCACTGATTCCCATTGTTTGCTGTACAAACAAACTCTTGGGTGCTCTTAAGAAGGAAGGCCTCCAAATGATCTACAGATTCTACATCCAGCATCCTTCTTCCCTCCCCTATAATGAACACCACACGTGGATAGTAAAGATGGTATCGGCAACATAAAAAGGAAAAATGGCTGCAATTAAAGGGGGGGGGAAGGTGTTTATGAAATTCACTATCACCGAGAATCTGAAGGGCAGAGAACGTGCGCGGAATAAGGCCCCTCTTTTGCTAATGACCTTTTGAGAGGTGCTGGAATTATCGGAGGGCATTTACGGAGTGATGGGAGAAGGGATTATCCAATGCCATTAAACGGGGAAAGAGAAAGTTCTCAAACAGAGTCAGCCTTCCTTTGCTTTGATCAGGAGAAGCACAGATAGGAGACCTACCCAGAGAGAATAGAAAGATGCTCTGCGTGCAAATCCTGCAAGGGTGTATTTGTGTGCATTTGTCTCTGCAAGTCCAGGGGGGGGGGGACGAGAAGCCCTGCAGGGTACACACTGAGTCCTCGAGTTATAAGCAGTCATTTAATGGCAAAAAATACACAGAGAGGATTCAGTTACAGTTACAAGATTAACCACAGTGAAACATCGGATCTGGCCATGTGGCGCTTCAACTTATGCCCTCTGTGACTTACGACTGGAACTCTGGTCCAATTGTGATCTTAAGTCAACCTGTAACTTCCCATTCTTCTGACCGAGCCCTTAAATGCGTTATTCAGGCTTTTCCCAAGCTGGCAACCTCTTCCTAATGTGTGGACTTCAAGTCCCAGAATTCAGTTCCCAGACGTCCGCCCGTCTTAAAGCCACCAAGTTGGGAAACACAGCCCTAGAGCAGCCTTGTGTTGATAAAAATAAGGGTGTGTTGTTGTTTTTTTAAACCGAGGAACGTTTGGTCCTTTTTTAAACTTCCGGCCCGACAGCTGCAACTACACAAAAATGAGTTAAAAGCAGAGAAATCTTACCTGGTGGAGGTGATGTGATGTTCGGCGAACTTTCGTTCATCCTGGACTTCCATCCTTCGGTGGCTATTCTTGACCTAGAAGAGGCAAAGGAAGTGTTACTGCTTTGGAAATCAGTCCAGGAATATTGTCGTTGTGTAAGACTAGGCTTCTAAGAGTATAAAGAGTGTAAAACGCCCACGACCTAAAACAAGGTGGAGCGACCACATCAGCAAATATGGCGGGCCCAGTTGGCAAAGGGAAGCGCAGGACCGTCTTGGTTGCAAACAGGCGGAAGAGGCCTTCCTCCTGCAGTGGGTAGAGAATGGCTAAAATGATGATGATGATGATGAAAGCTCTGCGTATTTACTTGGAAGTAATCCCATTAAAGGCGATGGCAATTACCCTCCAGGTAATGGTACCTTGCTTCCTGGGTAGTAAATATGAGGAACCCCTTGGGGCTTCCCTGACAGAGCTGAGCGTTTCGCTTGCTTGCTTGTTTGGAGGGAGCAAATATTGAATATTTATTCGGCCTTTCTTGGCACGGCCCTTTGCCCGATTTTTAGAAAGGTGAAGAGGGTAACCAGGAAGTGAGGAACAGGCTTTGCTGGCCTCCCAGGGGACAGATATAAAACTCAGAAATCCTGGCTAGCAAAGGAACGAAGATAAATAATTTAGCACTAAGAATAACCCAGGCTTCATCCTTTGCCAACGTTAGAAGAAATAAAGTTATATGAAAGTGCTTTTTTTATTTTATTTTAAACAAACAGACCCTCTGGGGGGGTCTAAAAATAATAAATACGAAACGAGAAGAGTTCAAAAGCGATGTGGATTAGTGGCGTATAAAGGGGAGGATTAAAAATAAACAAAATCCTTAGGTCCCCCCCCCAAATTGCGTCTATTGATCTACCTCGCAATGATTCGACTTTTTTTTTTTATATTATTATTAAACTTCATCAGAATCCTGTGAAGGAGACTCACTGGGAGAAGTTGGTTCAAACACATTCACTCAGGTAACAGAAGGACCAGAACTGTCGGCCTCCTTGTTACTTGGCGGTTTATAAATGAGAGAAAAACCAACTCTCAGATTGTACTGGCTATGGAATTTTATTTTTTCCCCAAAAAACAGCGGTCGAGGACCTCCGTATTCTGCTCCTTGCGTCGAGGGATAACGAGGCTTTCAAGTGTCCTTATTTATGAAAAGCTAGAGAATGAGAACAATTAAGCAAAGCATCTCCTTCTTTCTCTAAGAACATAAGTAGTAACCCCCCCCTTTTTTTTAAATGCAACGTTGCTTGCATATTTCATCAAAGGTCCCATGTCTCTCAACTTTGAGAACATAAATAAATGACTTCACAGGGCTTGCTGGATGCACCGGCAGACACGCTCTTATAAACAGAATGGAATTTATTTATTTTTAAGATTTTTTTTTATTTTTTTTTGCTTGCTTCTCGATTGCCTGAGAGGCTTTATAATGGGGAGTTGATGGAGAAAATTAATCTCTTTCTCTGTTTTGATTAGGGGACTGAAGACTAAAACATAGGAAGAACGGTGGTAGGAACTGGGGATGTCTAGTTTAATGAAGAGAAGGACCAGGAGTGACATGACAGCAGCCTTCCATCATTTGAGGGGCTGCCACAAAAGAAGAGGGAGTCAAGCTATTCTCCAAAGCGCCTGAAGGCAGGACGAGAAGCAACGGATGGAAACTAATCAAGGAGAGAAGCAACCTAGAACTAAGGAGAAACTTCCTCACAGTTGCCTTCAGAAGCTGTGAGTGCTCCATCACTTGGACAACCGTTTGTCTGAAATGGCATAAGGGTTCCCTGCTTGTCAAAGGGTTTAGACCAGAAGATCTCTGAGATCCCTTTCAACTCTGTTATTCTCTTATTTTCAATACTCTCCAGATTCAACGATCTGGATCTCGACTTGGGGGTCGTTGGAGAGAGAGGGGAGATGAGAAAAGGAATATAAAACGTTCTTTGTGGAAATTTGGAAAAGGTTGACCTCTGGAAACGCCTTTCTCTACTTAAGTGCAAAGGTCTCATTTTGAGTTACGACAAGGACACAGAAAAACACAAGTGGTTGTTGGTGTGCCTGACCTAGAAAGCTTGACGTTTTAGACTTATTGACCTCATAGGGCAGGGGTAGGCAACCTTGGCTCTTTTATGACTCGTGGACTTCAACTCCCAGAATTCCTGAGCCAGCTTGGCTGGCTCAGGAATTCTGGAGTTGAAGTCCACGAGTCATAAAAGAGCCAAGGTTGCCTACCCCTGTCATAGGGCAATAGTTTTGGACTGGGAAATTTCCTCTATAGGCCTGCTCAAACGTCCACGTTCTACGGATGATGTCCACTGATGAGATTGTGGAGGTCATCCATATTCAAAGTGACCCTTCTCTTTGGTAGCAGACCATCCCCGGGAATTTAGCTGGATTCCCAAGACGAAACGTTTTCTGCTGTAAATGATTTAAATGAGTGCAACCAATTGTTGTCTTTCTCCTCCAGCTTTCATTCTCCGCTGGTTGGATCGCTTGAAGCAGCTTTCCTATTTATTCAAAAGCGAAGTTCTATGGGCCATTGTTTTGACATTTGTCAATGGAAAACGAGAGGGAAATGACGTAAGTAAATAATATACGGAAGATAAGATTCATGCTTAGAGCAGGCCTTCTTTTAACTATGCTGCAGGACTTCCAAAGACTGCACTATTTATTAATTGCTGCTGAGTGTGTCCAACTTCAGGAACACGGTGCCCAAATTATAACTGCGTCTTCAGCTGGATAATTTGTTCAGGGCGCGTTCCAGGGGTCCCATCAGAAAATTGGGTTTTTACACAGGAATCCGTTGGAAGTGCCTCGGTAAATTTTGATGGGGTAAGTCAGAAAGTAAATACACCAAGAAACAAAAAGGAAGTTGGAGGGGTGCCACAGGAAGTGGTTTTGATCTTGGCAAATCCTCCCAATAGGAACATTTTGCTGCATTATAATTCAGCCTATTGAAGACTATTGTAAGTGTAAGCTCTGCGGGCCAAGCATCAGCTGGGCCCATAGAATGGATTCGGCCTCTCTCACGAGTTAATGCTCCATTTTCCCTTCTGCGGGATTAACGTTTCTTCCGAAGCAGGTTTATTCTTTCCGTTACCCTGGATAGCATTCAGGAAGGAGTGGTCTCTTCCAGGCAGAGATGACGGCAATAGGAATATTTAGCTGCCTGAATCGGACTTACAGGCCAGATTAATGCAAGGTTTTATTATGCCGCACCGCTTACTTTTCAACTCCTTTGAAAAGAACCCTTAAAGAAACTAAATTGCTTTCCTTTCATAGAGTTAGCCAAGTACTTATTTTACATGCAAAGCCAACTTTTCCTTTTAGTGAAATCGTGCCAGATTCAAATCCAGAGGCGTTTCACACAAAAAGTACTCAGATCTGGGGGAGGTATAAAGGTGTGTGTGTGTGTGGGGGGTATAAAGTCTCCAATTCAATGTTCGGACTTGCAGAGCGCCAAGGTTTTGCCGTGCAAGGTTATCCAGAGGTAAAACATCCTGACGTGAGTTCATCCAAGACCCATTAACCTTAAATCCAAGTGACTGAAGCACAAGATATGATCAAATGCAACATCTGATGCTTCACACCACGGGCCAGTTCACTTGACAGGCGAAATGCGTGGTTAGGTTCCTGCAATCCACCAAACAAATAACCAACCCGGCTGATTTTGGACAGCATGCGGCGCCGAGCCAGCCTTTATACTCAATAAGCGTTCATCCTAAGGAAGAATAGAATAGAATAGAGCTGGAAAGGGACCTTGGAGGTCTTCTAGTCCAGCCCCCCCACTCGAGCAGGAGAACCTAGACCATCTCGGACAAGTGACTGTCTAGTCTCTTCTTAAAAATTTCCAGTGATGGAGCGCCCACGATTTCTGGAGGCAGGAAATTAATTGTCCTCCCTGTCGGGAAGTTTCTCCTTTAATTCCAGGTTGCTTCTCTCTTTGATCAGTTTCCAACCGTTGTTTCTCGTCCTGCCCTCTGGTGCCCTGGTGAATAACGTGGCCCCCTCTTCTTGGTGGCAGCCCCTCAAATATTGGAACACTGCTATTGTGTCTCCCATTTCTTCTTTTCTTTAGACTAGCCAAACCCAAGTCCAGCAGCCGTTCTTCGCATGTTTAAGTCTCCAGGCCTTGGATCATCTTAGTTGCTCTTCTCTGAATTTTCTCCAAACTCTCAACCTCTTTTTTTGTGACAGGGTGGCCACATTTGGCTGCAGTATTCCAGGTGTGGCCTCACTAGGGTTTGATAAGAGTTTGAGAGGATCTTCTTCCATTGACAAGGAGCCTTCTTCCACCAGCTCGGGCATCACCAAGGATCGGGAGACTGAAGCCAGAGGTCCAATAGGAAAATGACTGAGCGAACGAGGGGAGTTGAGCAGCTGGTCAACTGAGACCGATTTCCACCACCCCCCCATACCAAATAATCCCTACCCCTCAATCCACCATCATAAGAGAACCCCACTCCTTGTGAGTTGCTCCATTTATTATTTCTGCAGTGCGTCAGGGGGGAAGTATTCCCACTAAGCCACAGGGATTAAAGACCGAAGCGGTGGGAGACTCAGATCGTATCCGTCATACCCATCTGTTTTCGATTCCAACCTTTCGCACCTGCTTTTATTTATTATTCCTTGCTTAGACAAGACAGGACTCATTTTTCAAGCTATTTTTCTCTCTCCCCCCCCCCTTCCTTCCTGAAAAGAAAAGCATAGAAAGGCAGGGGTTTCTTTAAAAAACAAAAGAGAGGATCATGATCCTCTATTCTTTCAAGCTCTCTTCGGCCTCACTCCGAAGACTCCCAAGAAGAGATTTTAAGAATGACTGACGTGATGGGGGCTCTGGGATCCAGTGAGGAGGGGCAGAAATCAGCTCTTCGGAGTCGGCTGGGTCCGTGCAACTCGGCTGAAGTGAGGGATCCTTGCTGCTCCCTTTGAGCTGGCTTGTTTTCTTGCAAGGCTGGCACTGACGATCTTACCAATAAAGGAGAATTTTTGTAGCTCAGGGCTGAGACGAGGGGTCCTTGGTGCTCGCTGAGCTGGCTCGTTTTCCTGCAGATGTTTCACT